TGTTATTTTCTCCCTCTCCCTCTGCCCCTCCCCCCTAAAATAAATGAATCTTACAAAAATTAAATGAAGAAGACTTAAAAATACTTATTAATTCATTTAAAAACAAAATTACAAATACATTAACATGTTAATGTCAGTAACATTGTTATGAAAAATAACTGTTTTTTTCATATGGCATTGTTTAACTTTTTATTTGCAAATCTCTTTAATGTATGGCTTAATAGAAGATAGCTGGATTTTCATATTTGCTTTTGCTTTCAATCTGTTGCAATTTGTTGTTTTGGTGGAAGAATCTGAAGAAAATCCAGCCTCACTCAGATATGTGGACAGAAAAGGGTGGAGAATTTTAATAGCCTTTTCATTGAGTAGGGACTTTCTTTGATACTACAGCAAAACTTGCAACTAGTAGTTTTTTTTGAGAGAGAGAGAGCAAGTGAGCAGGGATAAGGGGCAGAGGGAGAGGGAGAGACTCGTAAACAGGCTCCATGCTGAGCATGGAGTCCAACATGGGGCTGATCTCATGACCTTGAGATCAGGACCTGAGCCCAACCTGAGTCAGATGCTTAACTGACTGAGTCACCCAGGCACCCTACAACTAGTAGCTTCTTCAGCTGCAACTGTGAAATCTAAAACCATGACAATGAACTTCATTTTGTTTCATCCAAATTCATTTGTTTACCTTGCACTTTGAATGGATTTGTTACCCCAACACGATTTTGTAACATTGCACATTAGCCATTTATTTATTTACTTATTTAATTTTTTAAAAAAGATTTTTTAATTTATTTGACACAGAGAGACACACCGAGAGGGGGAACATAAGCAGTGGGAGAGGGAGAGGGAGAAGCAGGCTTCCCGCTGAGCAGGGAGCCTGATGTGGGGCTTGATCCGAGGACCCTGGGATCATGACCTGAGCCGCAGGCAGACGCTTAACACGACTGAACCACCCAAGCGCCCCTTACACATTGGCCATTTAGAAAAATTGGTGTGTTGATTTATGCAGATCTTCTAAAGGCTGACATATTTCATTATATAATACCTAAATCAGAAAGCTAATCAGAAAAGTCTTGAAGGATTGGGAAGTAGTCTAGCTCGCTGCAGAAGGCATCCTAATTGACAAGTTTTCTTGGAATTCAAATTTTCACTGGAAGGTTTGAATTTTATCGTTGGCTATAATACTGTCGGTTGTTATCCTTGAAGTGACAGGTTCATCTTGTTCCTTTTTGAGAAAATGCCTGCCCGAGACTGGGTCTGAAGTTTGTCAAGCCCTCTGTTGATTGAAAATGGTATTCTGTGAGAAAAAAAAAAAGTGACTTTTTCAGTCTGCAACTCTCGGAACTGCACGTGTGCTTTTTCTTAAGACAATCATCATGATTCGGTGTGAAGTGATTTATTCATACTTCCCATTTCCCCACATGGAATATTAAAATGTTCTGTCCTCAAGGGTCAAGATTTAATACCTTCATGGCTATATCAAGGATATTGTAAAGTGAAACTGACTCTCTCTCTCTCTTTTTTTAAGTGCTTGGGCAGGTTGTGAAGAATACAATTACTGTGAGTATAGTTTGTCATGGTACACGATGAGACACCATCAGTTTTCTTTTAAGCATTTATTTAGATTTTAGTTAGATGACACAGTGTTATAGGAATTTCAGGTGTACAATATAGTGTTTCAACACTTCCCTACATCACCCGTGCTCATCACCACAAGTGCCTTCCTTCATCCCCATCATCTGCTCTACCCCTCCCCCCACCCCTCTCCCCTCTGGTCACCATCAGTTTGTTCTCTATAGTTAAGGGTCTGTTTCTTGACTTGTTTCTCTCTCTTTCTCTTCCCTTTGTTTTGTTTCTTCAGTTTCACATGAGTGAAATCACATAGTATTTGTATTTCTTGCCTGGCTTATTTTGGTTAGCACAATACACCCTAGCTCCACCCATGTCCCTGAAAATGGCAAGATTTCACTCTTCTTTATGGCCAAATAATATTCCATTATCTATCTATCTATCTATCTATCTACCATATTTTCTTTATCCATTCTTCAGTTGATGGACACTTGGATTGCTTCCGTGTTTTGGCTATTATAGATAATGCTGCTATAAGCATTATCTATGTCTATATCTATGTAAGCATTATCTATCAAATCCCTTTGAATTAGTGTTTCTGTATTCTTTGGGTAAATACGCAATAGTGTGACTGTTGGACTGTAAGGTGGTTCTATTGTTAACTTTCTGAGGGACTTCCACACTGTTTTCCATGGGCTGCACCTGATTGCATTCCCACCAACGGTGCCTGAAGGTTCCTTTCCTCCACATCTTCACCGACACCTGTCATTTCTCGTATTGTTGATTTTAGGCGTTCTGACAGGTGTGAGGTGATCTTTCTTGTAGTTTTGATCTGCATCTCCCTGATCAGTGATGATGAGCATCTTTTCATGTGTCTGTTGGCCATCTGGATGTCCTCTTTGGAGAAATAAGATGTCATCAGTTTCCATCATCATTGCTTTGCACCATTAGTGCAAATGTTCACTCAGTGAAAAAGTCAAATAACATTTCAGTATTATAATGGCATGAGTTTTCATTTCAAAAATTCCTTGGAAGGGTCTCAGAGACACCAGAAGTCCATAGACCACACTTCTAGAACTTCTGTAGTTTACAGTTGATTTGAGAAGCAACCCAGCATGCTTCCAATAGACTCCCTTTTTCTGAAATCAGCCAGAGTTGGTTTCTGTTGATGTCACAAGTATTCCATGTTAAAAACGTCACTGTTTATGGATAGTTGAATCTAAATGTGTAAGGAACTCTAATTTAGGGCAATTTATAAATAAGTCCTTCATTATGATGACTTGCACAGCAAATAATCAGGAAGAATGAAAGATTCTAAAGTTTCACTTTACCAAAAAAATCTAACATTTGTGCTTTTTGCATTCTTGGTGTTGAGTCAGTGTTGAATAATCAAGTCTACATAGGCCCAGGAATTGTGGCAGAAGAAGGATAAGGGTATTAATACTCTCTCCTTTCATATGAGTGCTTCAAATGACCTTATTAAGCTAAGTATTATTCTTATTTTAGACATTAAGAAGAACTGGGATTTAATGGTTAAGTACCTTGCCCAAGGCCACTCAGTGGTCAAACCTCTCATCCTGGCTGAGAGACTCCAAAGCCCAGAACCTCTTTGCTCTACCACACAGGAATTTCTGATAAGGATGCAAATATGAGCCTGTGACGTCTGAGGTTTATGCCTTTGAAGGCAGTGTTGCAAAGTCATGGGCGTCCGAGGTAGTTCTTTAGGGAACTTCTTTTATAAGTTCTATTGTGGTGATACGATAATACTGGCTTTCTACCAAAGCAACATTTCTGACATACCATAAAGTGACATTTTAGAGTCGGAAGAGACTCTGTCCAAATTTATCACCACTGGGGCATGCCGGAATACTCAACACACATTTTAAAATACCATTCCCTGGGTGATAACCTGATTATTGTTTATCCCACTGAATCAAAATGAATCACATACAGTGGCAGGCATCTTCTTGGATGGCCTGAATAGTCTCTGCTTCCTCATATTCATACCCTTGTGTATGTAATCCTCCACCCACCCCCCTCCCCCGAGTGTGGACAAGATCCGTAACTTGCCTCTAACCAATAGAATATAGCAGAGGTGTTGGGATGTCACTTCTATGATAAGTTTTATAAGATAGTGACTTCTGTCCCGCTAGCGGACTCTCTGTATGTTTCCATGCTTGTACATTTTAACAAAGAAAGCTGCCATATTGGAAGGGTCTCTGTGGTAGGGAACTGAGGGCAGCCTCTGGCCATCAGTCAGTGTGGAACTGAGGCTGTCAGTCCAACGGCCTGTGAAGAGTTGAATCTGGCCAACAACCATGACTGAACTTGGAAGCAGGTCCTTCCCCAGTTGAACCTTCAGATAAGCCCCCAGCACCTGCTAACACCTGAGTATACACGTGTGAGAGATCCTAAAACAGCAGACTCAGCTAAGCTATGCCCGATTCCTGACCCACACAAACTGGGAGATAATATATGTGTGCGGTTTTGAGGTAATTTGTTAGGCAGCAACAGCGAACGGTTACACGGTTAGTATCTTTATCTGTCTCTTTCTCTAGCACAATCAGGAGAGAGCTGTTTAAGGTCAGTGAGTTCTTGTCATGTGTCTTTACCTGTTCAGCCACCACTGGAGAGTTTCCTGCCAGGATAATCTTCAAAGTGAAAGGAGGAGGGTCCTCAGTGTAGTTCCTAATGCTCCAGGAAAGCCCTCTGTGCTCTCCATCAGTTCCCACCTTTGGCCCTCCCACTGGAACCCTCCACAATTGTGTTTCTCCACTTAAGTATCCTTTAGCTTACAAACCAGAGGTAGCAAGTCAATTACTTCTGGAGTCTGAAAGTTCAGCCTGGGAGGGAGTTTATTAATCCCTCCATTGACTCATTCTACGGCAAAGATATGAATGCAGAAACGCACTTCCCAATCCAGTTCATAAGCAGAAGTGCAAAATGTCTGGACATTGACATCATGAGATAAAGAGCTCCTTTGAGAGAAAGAGGGGAATTGGGGAGATGCTAAAATATAATGCAATGCATAGGCACGAGGCAGCCTCTTTACTCTGGAGGGCTTGTTTCCTCATCTGTAAAATGGGGGTTGACCTCCAGGTCTCATAGACTTTGGTTCTTAGTCTGTCATAATCTGGGTTGCTGTGGGCTGGCTCTCTAGGTCCTAAAAAAAATGATTCAGAGAGAATGAAGACATACCTGCCTCCTAAAGGGGTTTTAGGATTAAACGAAATAAAACGTCAACCCCAAAGCACAGAGCTTGCACAATAGTGAGCCAGACCGTGATTGCTTCCACGCAGGGGTTCCAGGCCCCGGTGGGGGGAGGGGGTTGGGGCAGCCGGGGAGCGGGGCACTGCCCGCACCCGGGCCCGGTGGCCTGCCCCGCCCACGTGGGGCCGCGGCCCGTCGAATGACTCCGTGCAACGTGTTGGTGGCAGCGGCGGCGGCTGCGGCTCTTCCGGGCGCCGCAGCTTCCTGCCGAGCACCGCGCAGCCGCCTCCGCCGCGGAAGCCTCGGGTGCAGGCCTCGGCGCCGGTGCGGGACCCGGGCTCAGCCGCGCGCGCCCCGCGGGGCCCCGGCCGCCCGACCGCACGATGCGCGCCGCGCCGCCGCCCGCGCCGCTCCTGCCGCTGCTGCTGCTTA